GTATCGAAAATAAGGTAATAGGGGTAAAATTGGCTAAAATACATAGTCTGCACAGACTGGTAATGTATGAAACCATTTTTAATGGATTCTCCAGATGTTTTTTCACAAGAGTGGCAATATTTCATAACGTATGATAATCACAATGAGGTATTTTTTAAGTCATTTATACAAAATTTTAAGAAATTTGAGTAAAATGCTCCAAAAACCCCAACTTGCCCTATTCTGCACAGGACGAAACCATTTCCATTGGATTCCTGAGACTTTTTCCCATAAGAATGATTATATTTGCAAAGGTTAAATCAGCGCTGATCAGAGATAATGAATTTTGCTCCTTTTATGTCGATTTTTCCCACTGTGCAACGGGTTGAAGATACCGGTGAAGGAAGCTCGGGTGGTGTGTCTATTTCAAATAGGTTCGCCACTCTACCCACCGATGGAACAAACTCCAGCGAGCGGCAACGAACAAGCGAAGTAAGAGAAGGATGGTGCGAGTCGCGATATGTTACCGCGAAGAACTGAATTCCGTGTCGCCGATGAAGGCGAAAATTCCAACCAGAGTGCTACAAAAGTGAAGCTACCAGCTGGTGGTAAAAAATGCATCCCTCAACACGCTCATCGTCAAAGCTGAGTACAAACTCAGTGGAATCGGTACCAAGTGGAAAACAACCTGGCCGTAAATCACCTGAAGGATTTCAAGGCGGAATTCTTCACCCACGATATTCCGGTGAGAAGCCCTTTATAAGCCGAGGTCTACCGAGCTACGACCCAAAGTTCATCTCGGATCAAATCAAGGACCAGTACAAGCTGGTCCCAACTGCCGTCACCGGATTACGCGAAGGGACGAGAACACGAAAAAGTATCCGGATTGCCTTTTCCTGGCACACTTCCGGAAGGGAACAGTGACGATGAATGCGTTGAAGGCTATCCGCTCCATCAACTCCATCATTGTGGGATGAGAGCCATACCGTGGCGGCCGTCATGACGTCATCTAGTGCCAGCGTTGCCTGAATTTCGGGCACGGCACCCGAAACTGTCACATCAAGCCGCGGTGTGGCAAATGCACACAAAACCACGTTACCTCTGAGGGTGTCGTCGATGAGGCGGAAGCGATAAAATGCGCTGGTGGCGGTCATCATTGGCCCGACAAAAAGTTCCCCAAACGCGAGAATTTCAAGCGGATCCTAAAGTAGGCGTCAACAAGAAATCAACCAGGCAGAAAAAAGAAAAAAAACGCTCCGGCATTCAGGGTGCAGGACTTCCCGCCTCTTCATGCTACGCAACACGGTCAAGAAAATCCACGGGTGCAATCCGGCCTCCGTAAAGAAACGTCTGGTGCCTCAGCTGGACAAAGCTCTCCATCCCCTCTGGATTCTGGAGACAACCACCAGCACAAAACGCCAATCCCGATCTCTTCTCTGCGGATGAGCTGATGAAGTTTTTCGTCGACATGACTAGCGCTCTTCGTCAGTGCCCCAACAAGCCCGAACAGATCCAAGTGCTCGGTATGGCGTCTAAACCGTTAACTAATGTCAATTGGAACGCCTACTCTGTACGAGCTAAAAAGTTCGAGTTTGCTGACTTCCTCTGCCAGCACAATATCGACGTGGGCCTCCTAACAGAGACCCATCTCAAATCGGGCGACAGGTTTTGGTTGCCTGATCACAACATTATCCGACTTGATCGCACCGACTCCAGGTGTTGCGGTCATCATCAAGAAGGGGATCAAGTTTCACATGAGCTCCCGATTCATTGTTGGGGGCGATCTGAATGCTCGTCACGAAGCAAGGCGCAACTACCAACGGAACCAGAACGGTAGTCTACTATTCAACCACTCGCAGCATGGACTGTATACAGTGCAATTTCCGGATAAACCGACATTCATCTCTCCGACGGGAAACCCTTCCTCGCTGGACTTCTTCTTGACGAACTTCGGGCTATCCAAGCCGGTAGCAATCTACGATTTAAGCTCCGACCACCAACCGGTGGTGGCTGAACTGGGCTACAACGTGGTCCCTGCTCCAAGTCTACACAAGGACTACCACCGCGTAACTGGGCCCAGTTTGGACGCGTGGTAGACAGGCACATCATCGACAACCCGTCGCTTGACACCGTGGAGGACATCGACCGAGCGTTGGAGGGACTCCACCAAGCCATAACCGTGGCTGACGAGGCGTGCGTCCGACGAGTTCCTGTGAGGGGTAAGTTTATTGCCATTGTTTCCCATACCCAACTCTTGATTCGCCTGAGAAATGTTCGTAGACGCCAGTTCCAAAGAACCGGAGATCTAGCAAGGAAACGTGAAATGGCCGATCTGAACAAGGAGATTGCTTCCAGAATGATCTCACTCCGAAACGAAAGATTCGGACGGTTCGTTCAGAACCTGGACGACCGCTCCAGACCATTCTGGAAAGTTGCCAAGGTCCTAAAGACGCACCCAAAACCCATTCCACCATGACGATCGGCTCATAATCACCCCTTAAGAGACAGCAAATGCGATTGGTGAGAATAGTGCCAAATCGCACTTGCTTGGCTTTAACATCCAAAGTCCGCTCGAAGTTCAGGTTGAGCAATGCCTACTCAACCTTGATTTCTCCCTTTGTGCTATCCCTCCGGAGGATAGAATCACAGTGAAACAGATTTGCTCAGCGCTGAAATGCGCCAAAAACATGAAGGCCCCCGGGTTCGACGGAATATTCAACCTGGAACTGCACTCCGTTTCAAGTATCTGGAAGACAGCGAAAATCATACCTATCCGGAAACCCGGGAAGGAGCCAACGCTAGCTTCAAGCTACAGACCGATCAGCCTCCTTCCAGCGCTGAGCAAATTGTTCGAGACAAATTATTCTCAATCGTTTGCTCAACTTTGTCGATGAACACAACATTCTCCTACCGGAACAGTTCGGGTTCAGGAAAGGGCAAATCATCAGCTAGTACGGGTGATGAATAACATCCGAAGTAACAAGGCTGTATCCAAGTCCACAGCCATGGCATTGTTAGACGTTGAGAAAGCGTTTGACAATGTCTGGCTTTGTAACTTCAACTTTCCTTTGCATCTTGTTAAAATCACCCGTAACTACCTTCAGAAAAGGTCGTTCAGGGTATCGTTGAATGGCTGCCTTTCAAACACGTTCTCCATCCCAGCAGGTGTTCCGCAGTCTGTTGGGCCATTTGCTTTACAGCATCTACACTTCTGACATTCCTCCCCTCGGAGACGGTTCCTGTTCGCAGATGATACCGCAATAACCGTCAAGGGTAGGATGCCTCGCGAAATAACAAACAAGCTCCAACGATGCCCTGACGCCTTTGCTGATTATGTCGCCACGTGGAAAATCAAAATCAATGCCTCCAAAAAACACAAACAATCATGTTCCTCCATCGGCAATCACCCAAACTAAAACAGGCTCCCTCTTGTACTGTAATCATGGAAGGCACAAGGGTTGAGTGGTCTGCCGAAGTAACCTATCTCGGGATGTTGTTTGACGAAAAGCTCCTATTCCGCTCGCATGTGGAGAAACCCGTAGTCAAGTGTTCCGCCTTGGTTAGGTGTCTGTATCCGCTGATTTGCCGCAGATCCCACATCTCAAGGGTGATCAAACTGGCTGTCTACAAACAAATTATAGCACCTGCGATCCTCTACGCAGCTCCGGTGCAGGAAACATGTGCACAGACTCACAGGAACTAGGATGATCCTTGATCGTCCCTTTGACACAAGAATTTCAGACCTCCACCAAGAGGCGAACATTCCTAAATTAGGTTTCAAAATTGATGACATTAAGAGTAGGTTTGTGCAGAAATGCAATACATCAGAACATGCTTTGATAAGCAATTTGTATATAGTACGTTAGGTGTATATAGTAGTTATAGGTTAGTTGTAGTTGTAAATAGTGGTTATAAGTAGTCTCCTTTTTCGAATTCAAAACAAACCAATCCCACCAAGGTGGTCATACTCTAAAACAGGCCTGATAGGACTAAAAAATTGCAAATAATAATTAAAATTTCAAATGTACCAAAGTTGAAAAGACGCATCTGTGTCACTTGATAATTCATACATGTAAACCACACAAATACAAGAAATAAAGATCATTTAAAGTTTAAAAAAAGCTCTACGTAATCTCAGTGGCATGATCCGCTGAACCTGCCTGATTACGCCGCTCGCTGCATGCTCATTCTCTTGGAAACCTTACGTGAGAGACGCACGAACATACAGCAATTGCTTATCTTCGATGCGTGGCGTTTGCTTAGAGTCGTTTTGATTAACTCTGATGTCGACTGCAAAGCAGCCGGACATTAATACCGGTTGGAGCTTACCACCATAAGTCTGAATACACTATTAAGGTGGATTCCGTCCTGAGCGATATTTCACGCGCGGAGCGAAATTTGCGAAGGTACCAGCGGGAGAAAAATACTAGTGGTCTCAAGCTCAGATGTGAATACACCTTTATCGGAAAGTTGTAAAGTCAAGGTGTTCACTGATCATGTCGACGGTCGCCACATGCTACACGACTTCGATATGATGTTTTGACATGTTCTATGATGCCACTTTACCGCTTGGCCTAAGATCTGAAACGAAAAACTAGGGGTGCCATTTTTTTCTTTTTCAATCTAATATAATGTTGTTCAAACAATAACAACCAATATTTTGCACTTCAACTTTTTTGTGAACTGCAACCAGTGGCATCACCACTGAGTTGTATGGCGTATTGTGTGAGTGTGTTTCCATGTATTTACATAATTAATTTACCAAAAATTAACAGCCACCTCTAGTTGGAACAGGTATAGCCAGTGCCAGAAAATGATGCTGCAGGAAACATGCTTGCTTATGATTGCTATCTTGTGTATTGGGTACTTCTACACACACACACTCTATTCATGAGTTCCGAACAAGACACAAGCGAATGGGAAGAAGCAAAATTTGGATTGTTTTGATTTCTGCAGCCTCTCGGCGATATGCTTAAGTCGGCCTTAAATGATAATTCATTTCCTTCATAATGATTGCTAGAATCAGTTGGTTCATTACTGTGCTGGTGTATTCCGAAGGTTAGTATGATCATGTAATTGTCACTTTGAACGTAGTTTTAATACCAATTCCGTAACAGGACGTCATCATGATGCGGATATGATGTTACCAAATGAGCGGACTTCTCTAGATGGTAACTAGAATTGTGAAGTTGGAAAACAATGGATACATGGTCATTGTTTTTTGCAGATTGCTCCTCTCGTTTTCATCAACTGGTACCATCATTAAAAGCAGCTCCAGCTTCTGGAGCACTTGCATTGATAAAGGAATTTGCTCACATGGGAGCTATAGGTTGGACTCAATCGGATGGTAGCGTCCTGTGGCATTGTGGAGGAACGTTGATTTGGGTGGACTATGTTATAACCGCTGCGCATTGTGTCGTTGATGACAGGTCGGATTGTGTGAACCGGATCAAATATGTTATAGCTGATAACTTTCTTCCCATTTTAGAAATGTGCGCCCCGATACTGTCCGGTTTGGCGATTTGAATCTTGAAAGTGATAGTGATAACGAGTATGCTCAACAACTGAAAATTACCGAAATACGCAGGCATCCGTTGCATCGATTTGGAGTAAAGTACCACGACATTGCTTTGATGAAATTGGAAAGACCAGTTAGGTGAGTCAAATATTTTAATTTATCATCAAATTATGGCGATGAAAGGTAGGGTAATTGAGAGCAGTGCTATTGGTTTTTATTAACATAGGCATAAAAGCCTGGTTGAAAACAAACAGCTTGGGACCTGCACTTTCTTATGTCACGTGCATTTTTGGAATTCTTTTATTTCAAATTTGCATTAACTCTGGCTCCGCAGTTCGATAAGTGCTTTACGGCTTCGACTCTGATTCTACAGCCCTGTTCCCAAAAATCACAATTTCATTGAGCATGGCTGAAAAACTCTAATTGGATCTTTGTGCTTGCCTTCAACTTTGTGTTTTTTTTAGCACTGCCATAGTTTTCGCATTTGTGTATTGTTTCATTCTAGCGAAGTGGAAAGCATTAAAACTTTTATTTTTACTACAGGTTACATGATACCGTTTGTCCAGCATGCCTTTGGATTAACGATGAAATTAGGTTCACAGAGCTCGTCGCTACAGGTTGGGGCAGCACCGGTTATTGTACGTATAGACTTATTTTTTTTCGTATCATCATCATCTCGTCACCATCTTTAGTGATCGAATCTCTTACGTCCATTATCACGGCAATATTATCACATTTGTATCAACATGTGCATTAGGGTGTCACAGTGCTCAAACGGTTCTAATTTGGGTCTTGATTAGACTCCCAAAATTAGAACTCATTTAGTAAGAAGCTGACTTGGCACAAATCATTTGAAATTTATATGGGAATTAATATGGGAAAATCAAAATTTTGGTTCATATCTATCTCAAAGTTCACCAGTTCACTCTGCTTTAAAAATGATAGTTGTGCTTGTTGAAAATTTTCTCAGCTACAACTTTGTTGAAAAGTACTGTTCAATCAAATGTAAGAAACAAAAGTTATTAATGATTCAAGTCACTGATATCTTATGATTATGCTCAACCAACTGTTCAGCCGGCAACATTGATGTTTCTGGCGCGTAGAATAAATGACAAAATCATGGCTACTATGTCATACTGCAGAATACAGTGTTGCCCACAATACAGTTGCTTAATTATGCCATAAGATTATCAATCTCCTAAACAATTAATAACTATTTAATTTGACGTTTGACTGACGATCTTTTTGCAAAGTTATAGCTGAGAAAATTTCCCGTAAGAATAGCGATATAACTTGTTAACAGTGCATTATGCAAAAAGGTTAGAAGCCAACGAATAAAAAGTTTGGTTTTCCCATAGAAATTTCCATATAAACTTCAAATGATTTGTGCCATGTCAGTTTCTTACCAAATGAGTTCAAATTTTGGGAGGCTAATCAGGACCCGATTTGGAACCGTTTGAACACTGTGGAGCGAACATTTCAAATTTTGCATCAGTGTATTGCTCACCCTCAGAATTATAGATTAGGCTTTAAGAAACAACGTTATAACGCTTAAATTTTCTGAAAAAAGGAAATTTTTTCAGAACAATATCTAAAAATATGTCATACAAATAATTTATATAAAGTAGCTCAATACCAAAATCAATGCTCGGTATTTATTAGGGAAGAGAAAGTCGACTTCTTTTGTTTAGAATTATTTGTATGACCAAGTAAACACTTTATTTAAAACTTAACTAAAAATATCATAAATGCTCAAGGAAAAATAGTTCACCAATTTTTGCCATTGTAGAAAATTGTATGCGGCTTACTTTTCCGAATGAAGATTTCTAAGTATACAATTCTGGAGAATTTTATAGGGTTTGTTAATTATAAACAATCCTATAGCACCACACAACTTGACCCTCACCGATTTAGTTGAAAATGGTCACATGTATTTAGTACGGAAGATCTTGTATTTTACATAGATAAAGAGACAATTTCGGCTCAAGACAATTATTTTACAGAGAGAATTTCCAGGCCAAATTGCAAAAAAAAAAGGCTCGACCTTCTCTGATTGGCATGCAACTTTGCATAATTGTTTATTATGGTCAATTTATTTAATTTATTTAATTTGTTTTTCTTCATCGAACATAACGTGTCTAAATGAAGCCTGATGGGGAAAAGCCTAGAAAAGGCGTAAAAACCCCATATCTTTTCGAAATACCTGAATCACAATAATACAATACAATTACAACGAACATTAATAAAGTCTATAGCATAAAAAAGTTATCCTCCTATGGCATAGAGTTGTCCGTGAATCAGGTAGAAGTCCTTCTCAGGAGTCTGCGTTGAATACGGTGACGAAAGGTTTCCGCTGCATAGTTAAAGTCGAAAAACTCGTAAAACTCGTTGAAACGCCCAGACATGAACCGTATTGAGTCATGCAAGCTGTAGTTCGCAGCACGAGGTCCAAGATGCAGGAAACTCCTCGACCGAAGAACTCGTTCGGGTGCGTAGATTTCGAATTCAGCCAAGATTCCTGGAGAGTCGATATCACCAATAAGTACTTTCGCTGCGAACACGGCCTGACTAATCTTCCGCCTATGTTCTAGTGTTTCAAGACCCAGGAGGCATACCGAACAAATTTCCTTTGAACAGATTCAATCCTCGCTATCCAAACTGCTTGATACGGGCACCATACTACCGAGCTGAATTCCAAGATCGATCGCACTAGAGAGCAGTATAGAGCATTTAGACAGGCAGGATCGCGAAACTCGTCAGCGATCTTGAAAATGAACCCGAGTTGCCTGTTAGCTTTCGCAACGATGCCCGAGTAATGAAGCTTAAGGCGCAGTTCAGCGTGATTCCTAGGTCACGAACATTGTCCCTTACGTTGCAGAAGTTGGTGATTTATCGTATAGTTGAATGCCACTGGTTTCAGCTTGCGATGAAATGAGATAATATTACATTTTTGTACATTCAACGTGAGATAGTTTCTTGAGCACCACTCTTCGAAAGTATTGATTAGGTGCTGAAGCCGCAAGCAATCGGCGAAGCTACGAACAATCACATAGATCTTCACATCATCCGCGTAGAACGATCGGCAACCAGTTGGGAGGATCAGTCCGGCCTCATTCACAAAAATCGAGAATAGCAACGGTCCCAAGTTGCTACCTTGAGGAATACCGGAGCTGTTTGTAAAAAATAGTCCGATTGCTCTGATCTGATTCTAACATAAAGTTCCCGATTGGTCAGATGGGACTTGAACCAACGAGTTAAACCCGATGATACACCGAGTTTTTCTAGTTTAGCTAGCAGTATGGAGTGGTCAACCCGGTCGAATGCAGCCTTAAGATCTGTATATACAACGTCCATCTGCGCTCCGGCTTCCATACTCCGAAGACATAAAGAAATGAACGGAGCTGGATTTGTTGAAACTGATCTCTTGGGATAAAAACCGCGTTGGTCAGGAGAAATGTAATTTCTGCAGCTAGAGAATAATGCGTCGTTGATGATGATTTGGAAAACTTTAGAGCAGGCACTGAGTGATGTGATCCCTCGGTAATTTTCGACGTTTCTCTTTTCTTCTTTCTTGTAGATCGGGAACATGAATGACGATTTCCAACGCGTAGGGAACTCCCCCTGCCGTAATGAAATATTGAACAGCTTCGAAAACGGTGTTGTAAGCTCTGAACAGTATCGCTTCAGGATGCTTGAGGGGATCCCGTCATGGCCAGCAGCATTAGAACATTTCAGCTTCTTGATGGCGGATTCGACGAGATCTACTATAACCGAGGTAATCGAAAAATTGAAAGCATCACTGGGAGTGTCCCTCACGGCTTTAGCAACTTGGGACAACGAAGCCGTAGTGTCATTGAAAATGCGTTTGAAATGTTCTGCCAGAAGATTACATTTCTCAAGGAAATTGCTGGCGATTCTATCACCCAGGTGAATTTCGACTGGTGGCCCTTCCTCGTTTCGTTTGGTATTCACGAATGACCAGAACTGCTTTGGATTAAGCCGTAAATTAGCCTACACACGCCTTGTGTAGTTCTTGTAAATAATGCGGTTATATGTGCGATATTCGTTGCTCGCTGTTGAAAATCATCGTTTGGTGAATGGGTTACGAGTACGACAGTATTTACGGAGGGCCTTCGATCTCAGACGCTTCAAATTCCGTAGTCGAGCATTGGACCATGCAGGTTTGGGAGAGGGTCTCCTCAGTGGGACAGAAACAGTTATTGCCCGGCCAACGACCTCAGCGAAGTAGTTGACGGCTTCATCAATAGATGAACACGTGTCAAGGAACTGCCAATCTGCCTGGGCAAGCGAGTGACTCAGCGCGACGAAATCTGCTCTACGAAAGTCGAGCTCATGTACATCAACAGGGGGGTTATCGTAGCGAACAGGAACAGATAGGTTGATGGAAACTTCCAACGCAGGATGATTGGTGTCGATGCCAATCAAAGGCTCTGGGGCTTCTAGGATAGAACATTCCAGTTCTGCAGCTTCGTTCGCCAGAACGAGATCAAGCAGCCGAGAGTTGCTATTCTGTATCGAGTTGATTTGCCTTAAGACATGCCACATAAGGTTGAAACCGTTTGAGCAAAAATACGACTATTGATTGATTGATTGGTTTATCTTTATTTAGGAGGATTTCAACATGAGGCTGGTTCGCCTCCAACTTATAAAACTATTTTGAATCTCACAAAAACTTCAAAATGGCGAATTTGATATTTTTCAACAAATCATAACTCGAAAACGTCAATTCAAATTGAAATTACGCCTAAGACTAAGGTGTAGGAATACATAATTGCTTTCAGGAAAAATAAACACGGTAAAAAATTTCATATAATTGTGGGTAAAAAATTTCATGTAATTTTGGGTAAAAATCCAAAATAGTGTTTAAAACTCAAATAACAAAAAAACATACTGTTTGGCCAGGATACGACTAGGCCCTACGTTGTGTTTTTACAGTGTGATGGAAATCGGCAAGGCGAAGACTTTTCCACAGTATAATTAAAACACTGCAATTATTTACCACTTGGTTCACTGTTTTATTGCCTCCGAAAGGCATCCTGCCTGCTCGGAGGAGGGACGAATAACTTAAACTATTTACAACAAATGAGTCCTTAAATATTATTCTCGAACAATAAAACTCACTCACAATAATTATTTACAACTAAAAACAACCATACAAAAGGTAAACAATAACAAATGCATACAAAACACTATGATACAAACAATGTGGATCGCATCGCTACCATCGTGGGGGGGGGGGGCTTTTACTGGTAACGCTTTATATATTCAAATGCCGTAGAGCCCGGCACCGATGGTGCGATCCAACACATACTTTAATATTTTTTGAATACAGTGAATACTCCACAACTCGTTATTCTATATCTCGATATTTTCCATTACTCGATAGATTCGGTGCCTTCAATTTTCCATGTATCGTACTCTCCAAAAGTCAATATTTCCACAAGTTGATGCTTCCTTTGGTCTGTGTAGTATTATTTTGATTCTATAACTCGATATGTCAAAGGCAGAGCATCTGAATTCTGTGGTTTTGATGTGAGAATCAAAGAGACTTTCAAAACATGATAACTGGTGAACATTGGCCGCATCAGACATGCTTCTGGAGTCCTCGGGAAAAGGG